AAAACGTGTACGTCGGACGTTCAGCGTCGCCTTCCTGTAAGCCTAGACGTTTGACAATGGCATTTGGAACGTCAGTGGAATCATGCTCGACGTTCCAAACGCCATTGTCAAACTTCTAGGCTTACAGGAAGGCAGCGCTGAACGTCCGACGTACACGTTTTCGCGTTGAAAACTTCGGCCGCAACCTCTCTATTTACAGGTGTAAATCATTTCATTGTTATCCACATTTGATATCATCACTTATAACATACTGTCATGATGCTCACGACACAACTGTCAAGAGTTAATGCGATTAAAGAAGTGTAGTGACAGCGGGCCAATAGAGAGCAGGGTGCGCGATCCTTGCCATATAATGCGATTTGCACGCTAATTTTCGTGTGTTAATCAAGCCGAATAGTTTGGCCGAATATACTATTCGTTACATCACTAGTCTGAATTGCTCATCACAATTATATTTATGATAGTAAACCTAGAACTGAATGGACTTCGACATATCTTTATTTATGAAAATTTAATTATGTTGAAAAACAAGTGAAAACGAGAGGATTAAAAATGTTACATCATTTTTACTTTTTTTTTCCGCCATGAGAACCGAAAAAATCTTTTTACCCGTATCGATCGTGGGTTCGGCCAAGTCCAGTGGAGCGAAGGAGTCCGACATATCTGGGACGGATGATCGAGCAGCTAATTAAGGATGCAGCCTATCACTTTGGGGGACTCAGATCGAATCATTACGATACCCGTCAGGATTCGATCTGAGTCCCCCAAAGTGACATCCGGACGGACCACTCAGGATCGAATCCTGAGTGGTCCGTCCGGATGTCAGGCCGCTCCGTTGTAGGCCTGGCCGAATCCACAATGGGCACGCTAAAAAATCTCTCTTAGTGCCCACAGAGCGGAGAGTTAGCGAGACCCACTCGGCCTTATTCCAGTCCGGATGGCTGACACTAACCGCTTAGCCACCCCGCCAGCAATGTTTTATTTAAATGTTATTAAATTCAATTAAATTTTTTAACGTAAAGTAAAACTGTTGAAGTTAACGAATTATTTTTCTATAATCTTTTCTTCAATTTTAAGTAAACGAATAATGATTTGAATTTAATGGATAATAAAATTAATACTTTTATTAAAAGAAAGGACAAACGTTTTACTATCAATACTTTTAACGTTTTATTTCAATTTTCTAATAGTTTTTTTTTCTTCTTTTGTTTGTTGTTTACTTTGTCCGATTTTTTCGTTACACTATCCTTTGGTTTCTTTTTATTCTCTGCTTCTAAAATTTTCCGCTTTTTCTGATTTATAATTTTTCTTTCACCAAAGTCTGTTTCTCCTAGTCGTATTTCTGCTTCTCTCATTGCCACAGACACTTGCAACATTATATCCAGCACCCTTTTTTCTTTAATAAAAGTAAATTTCATATTTCATTAATATCATAGTAATATAATAATAAAATTAAGCAAATATGAAACCAGTAAACATTTTTATTAATAATAAAACTAATAATTAACTTAATAGAAATTTGTTTCACATGTTTCTTAATTGAAATTTCACAAGATATTTATAATTTTTATATGTATTATTTTAAGTATTAAAACAATACTGTATATGCCAATATTTTTATACCTGTATTTAAATTTTACAAAGTTGCCCAAGAAATGGCATTCCATTAACAGTGTGATGTAAAATTTCTGTTTGATTTATTTCCAAAATAAATAGAATCATAATAATTAATAAAATGGCTAGAATAATAATAATACATAAATGTATTCAACAAAATAGAATAACAATAAATGTCTTCTGCTATAAATCAATAAATAATAAAAAGTGGAATCTGCTGTAGAAACTGTTGTTCTTGAGGTTGTAATAAGTTAAAATCTTAAAAATTTATGATCTGAAAACAAATGTCAAAATAATGATAGTGGCAAGCAATAATTCTATAAAATTAATCTACAGAGTGATTCAAAGGGCAATCTTAAACTTCAGGAGCATACAGACAGGTTCAAATGGAGCAATATTTGAATAGAAACCAGTGTTCATAGACATAATCCCGAGTCAGTACAAGCCTTCTTTAGGAGCATATCAAAAGCTTCCTTTACAAGACACAAGTGGACAACCCAGAAACACTATCAGCCAGAATTCTTGCAGCAGAGGATGTAGTTAAGAGGCGATGTCTTAAGATATTTGAGAGGGTGCATGAGAGTTTCTTTTAAAGATGCAATGTGTGCATCAAGTGTGGGGATCACCAAGTCAAAAAGCTTTTGTAACTGCATCGTTTTGTATGTACAGTATTACATTTACATTCACATGCACCGTTTCATTATTAAATGTTTTTATTGATATGTTTTATTTTGTCATGCTATCTATGGTATAGTTCCTTACATTAGATGGCTTGCACTGACTTAGGATTATGTCTGTAAACACATTCTTATTTGAAAGTTGCACTATTTCAACTCCTCTAAACAAGTCCTGAAGTTTGAGACAAACCTTTTGAATCACCTAGTATATAGTGATTCACTAATGGTGTGCAGTAGTTTTTTTCTTGAAAACCATCAGAGATAAGTGGATGAGACTAATTACCAAGTTTGTAGAATAGATAGGGACAAATTTGGTGACCTCGAAAATCAGCAGTTATTAGACAAAGCAAAATTGGGATTTTCAAATTATAAAGGATGCTTTTGAGCCATTATATAATTATATGGATTGTACAAAAAAAAAATAAAAAGTAGAAAAGTAGAAGCTGAAAATTCTAAACAAAAAAAAAAAAAAAAAAAAAAGTAAACACCATTTGTAACAGTTCACATTTTCTTAAACCTAATGGTCTTCAAGATATCAGCCAGTTTCTGTTAAAAATCTGATTCCTCTTTTTTTCTGAAAGTTTCTATACCAGGAAGTTTACCAGTTTAATTATCAAAAAGCTTTACATAATAGAAAAATGATAGTAATGAAAGTACATTTCAAAATTTATTTAAATTAGATGCTAAGAATGTGTATACAGGGATTTATTCTTCTAGGATCGGCATTTCATAATTTACATCTATTAATCTTATGAAAACTTTCCAATATTCTGATTTTCATGTTTTCAATAGAAGGATGCTAAAAGCAAACCCATATTGTCCTTTGCCCTCATAGACTGGCATATAGATTTGCAGTTTGTGAATAATTTTGGTGACATGTGCCTAAAGTCATCAGCATATCAAATGCTTCTTTATTTGAATAACTTATTTTCATGAAAATAGAGGAAACAAGTAAAAATAAAAACACAAAAATGAAAAAGATTACTCCAAACATGGCATTCCTTCGTGTCTTTGAAAAGGCATTCCTTCGTGTCTTTGAAAAAGTAACAATTCAATTTATTCAAAGAATACTTGTTCAACTATCTGATACAATAAGATAAAGAACAAAAACTGATAAACTTAGTTCCCAGCATAGAAACTTTTAGGAAAAAGAGAAATCAGATTTTTAGCAGAAATTAGCTGATATCTTGAAAACAATTAGGTTTAAGAAAATGTCACCTATTGCAAGAAGTGTTTATTTTGTTACATACAATTCCTATAATGGCTCAAAAGTACCCCTTAAAATTAAAAAAAATATATTTTGTATTCTCAATACTACTAATTTTCAAGGTCATCCAAGATCACCAAAATTGTCCTAGTCTACTCTATGAACTTGATAATTAGTCTCATGTTATCTCCAATGGTTTTCAAGAAAAACCTATTGAACAATCCTGTAAGTGTCATCCTGTATAGTCAAAGAAGTTCACTAAAAACAAATATCCTAATTGAAAATCTTTAATTTATTTTTATAACTGGAATAAGATTATACTTGAAAAAGGACTCAGTTGATTATCTGATAGTACTTATTTAATATATAATAAGTATTATCTTATATAAATCATTTTCAGATTATTTAATCTTAAAATTTGATAACAGTCAACTAAACTAAGTTTCTAAGTTAATAATAAGAGTGCCATCAATACTTAAATTCAATATAAAAATATAAACACAAATGAATTTTTAATGAGTACTTTCATTTTATTTCACTTGAACTCTTCTTAACATCTTTAGATAAATAACAATTAAATAGATTGTTTTCAATTTTGTTTCAAATGAAACAATCATGTGGATTTAAAACCAATATATAACAATAAAATTAGAAGAAAAAGCACAGACCATAACCTTCAGAGAGGCTCAGAAGAAAATGAAGAATATTTGTCTAAATATGAAAAATTACATATACTGTAACATAATTATATCAATGGAATTATATTTTATAATTTAAAACTAGCCTTTTTACAATAGCATTAATGCAAACTTTCCTGCATTTGGCAGCAAATCATTATATTTGACACTTAGATATTTCCTTTAATAAAATTACTCATACTATATTTTCATATTCTTTCTTAATACATTTATTGAGAATCTACATTTTGATTACCATAAATAATTTCTAATAAACAGAGTATAAAATTTTTTACTTAAGGATACCATGATCAGATTTTAATAGGGGTTTGATGGAAAAGAAAGAAGAAAAAAAAGGAATTTAAAATGAATGCAAATAAAAAAAAACTTTTTAAATGACCACTTATGCTGCATTCAAAGTTTCAAAATACAAGCTTCATATAGAATTACTTTTCTTCAAAAATCCATTAATAGTTTTAAGTCTTTTTCATTACAATTCTAATGATTTTTCTCTAAACTTAAGTATAAATTTTGATATATCTCAAATTCAACAAAAATATTAAGAGAAAAAATTCAACAATGAGTTGTATAACTTTCCCGACTNATATTTATTTTATTTGTACAAAATAAAAAAATAATTTTTAATGATACAACAGCCACGATTATTATTTTAAAAAGTTTACATTAGGCTTAACATCGACGAAAATTCAACGCGAAGCGACATGCAACGAAGAAAAATTTCAACACGGGATAGGTTAATATATTTTTTCGTGCATAATCGGTTATCCGAAAAACAAGTTATCCGAACAACCCCAGTCCCCAATTGATTCGGATAAACGACGCTCTACTGTATATATATATATATATATATGCGTGCTAATAAACTAAAACCGATATTTTTACATTCAAACAATTATTATGTGACACTTAACAATCGGAGCAGATAATGCGTGATCATTTTCAAAAAATTAACCTTAGAAAGAAATAAGAAATTAATCGTAGATTTTCTTTTTTTTAAAAATAAATATATAAAATATAAACGACTGTTTTCCGGAAATCTATTTTCACGTTACTGTATAAGTAATAGAACAGTCAAAACAACAAATCGTAGAAAAAGACTTGATAATACATTAGGCCTTTTCTCTGCCAACCTGAAGAATCCGGATTCATTCAGAGTTAGAAACATTTCCTGAATTTGTCGGCCGCTTATATTGTGGGCCTGCCAAACCCGTAATGGGCTTGATTAAAGAAAAAGCCCTCTTAGTGTCTACAGTATGGAAAAAGTAAATAAAAAGTAAATTAGGAAGCTTCTATAAATTATGTAGCGTCATTTTTTACGATTTTTACTACCATCCCACCCCTCGTAACGCATTATAATACTACTAGACCTCAAGGGTGTATACAGCAGTGCGCTTATGGTGCTGAAGTACTTCTAAAGCGACACTTTTGTTGCTTTAAAATATAGGCCTATAATAGCGCATATCGTATGACGTCAATTAGGTTAACTAAAGTAATTCTAAGGTAATTGAGTAACGTTCTCCGAAAAACAACGGGGCACGTGCCTTAGTCCTCCCGAATCTGCCTTGAACAGTACCCAAATTCTCACTATCTTGGATATTCACTGATAGACCCTTATTAAATTACATAACTACAAGAACAACCCTCTACTGTTGTTGGAGTTTCCAATACAAAGACTTGGTCATAAACAGAATAGTTTCATAGTAATATCGCACTTTACAAATTAATTTTCTATATAAATACCATAAATACAAGAATTTTCTACACGACTCGAAATTTTAAATAATTGAGTATGCACATGGTTTATTCAGCAACGAAGATCGAATTGTAACATTCGCCTGTTAAAGTAAGAAATTTTTGTCCAGCTTTAAAACATGCTCACGTGACAATAATTTTAGTTGCTTAGGTAATTTACATTGTGCAGACAGAAAGAAACTTCAAACCAATTATCTCAATACCATTCCATATAAATAGACAAGTTTAGATTTTTATACAGTAGAGCGTCGTTTATCCGAATCAATTGGGGACTGGGGTTGTTCGGATAACTTATTTTTCGGATAACAGATTATGTACGAAAAAATATATTAACCTATCCCGTGTTGAAATTTTTCTCTGTTGCGTGTCGCTTTGCGTTGAATTTTCGTCGATGTTAAGCCTAGCGTAAACTTTTTAAAATAATAATCGTGGCTATTGTATCGTT